GGGAACCGAGCGCGGATATCGCCCGGCTCGAGCAGCCGCTGCCGGCGAGGCGTGCCCGTTCCCAGCGATGTAAACGTTGCGCTGCTTCTGCTTGCAGGTATTCGCCCGCAAATCATGAATGGCCCTATGCACCCCCGTCCCCTGGTGGCTCTGCTAGACGGAAGGGACTGTACAGTCGAGATGCCGATTTTGAAAGATCTGGCCACTGTTGCATTCTGTGACGCACAATCAACTCAGGAGATTCATGAAAAGGTAACGTAAGCTGCGCTTTTACGTGGGTGGCTTTGGCTTGGGGAAGCCGGCGATGGTCTAGCATGTGTGTTTTCCTGTTTGGATTCTTTTTGAGCGAAAAGAAAAATGTGTAAAGCTACCCTTTAAGTTGCTTAGCAGATAACATCAACAGAAGTCACTGCAGATTAAAATTCAGTGAAGCTGTTTGAAAAGCCAGATGTTATTTTGGAAAAAAAAAAAAAATCACCTTATCTCTTAACATCAACTTTCTTACCTTAATATTATTAACATTTCTTATTTCAGTTTTTTTAAGTCAGCTTGCTGAGCGCTGCAGTAACACGCAGCCCTCTGCACCTTTCCGTTTTGCGGCGCGGTTGTTCTTGTTTTGCTAACGCCCCACCACACCGCAGCTGATGGGTCCCACCAGATAATCACCACGTCTCAGCAGCTGATCGGGCCAGGCTGAAGCACCCCGCGGGCAGATCCGTACGCTGTTGACAGGTGTTTCTGCCTGGAAGCTCAGCTAATTGTCAATACTTGGTCTGAAGTTATTCTTGGTGCACATTTAGATACCTCAAGTGAGGTTTGAAGTGATCAGGAAAGCACTTCCAGGATCTGGGAAAGGGAAGTCAAAATAACATCTATGCTGACCTTTGCAGCGCTTCAAATACTGAATGCAGGGGAAGGAAGAAAGATTTTTTACGAGAACCCATTGGTAAATGAGCCAATCCTGCAGACTTTGGATAAGTCTTGGGTTACCAGGGCACGGCGGTAGCGTGTGGTGGGCGCTGATGAAGGTCTGAACCTCCGCTGAAGGGAGGTGCAGCCTTACGTGACGGTACAACCTCCCGGGTTCGCCCGCGCCCCTGCTTGCGCGCCCTGGTAGCATCTGACATCTTGTTCTGTTTCAGGTATTAAATGAAGCCGTTGGGGCGATGATGTACCACACCATCACTCTGACTCGAGAAGATCTAGAAAAGTTCAAGGCCTTACGGGTCATTGTTCGAATAGGCAGCGGCTACGACAACATTGACATCAAAGCCGCAGGGGAGCTTGGTAGGTGTCACTTCTGTCCCCTCCGCGGTCAGGCCCGCGCCCGTCCGATTCTTCCAAAGCAGCCCACACCACTGCTTTTTTTTTCCTTAGACGAGCTCTAGCAAAATGGAATTTCAGGCAAGATTTCCCTGAAGGGTTTTGATTCAGCCCCTAAAATTACAGGTGCAGTTTACATTTTTCGCATGTAGAAAATGTAATGACAAGAACATTTGACCATGAAATAAGCAGGCTGCTGCAGTTTTCGAAGGCAGGGCTTAGTCATACGGTACTAAACCTGTATTTGCAAACGGCTGTGAACGTCTTTGCCGCTCCCCTTGCCTTGTCCCCTTCTGCTTCCTTTTCCTCCCTCTTGCTCCTCTGGTGAGCGAGAGGGATGGAGGGTCGCCCCCTCCTTGTGCTGACTGGTGTCTGTAAGGGGTGCGCGCTGTTTCTGGTGTGGGAGGACTGATGCGGCTTTAGGAAAAGCAGAGGGAGGTGGGGTTTTTTTGTTTTTTTTTTAAGCTCTTGTTAAGCAAGATTAGCTCCTTGACCTGCGGAGGGACCTGGGGGGACCTGCCCACCCAACCCCAGGCGGGCTTAACCGCCGCCCCGGTTTCAGCCGCCGAGTTACAGCTGTTTCCGATCATCCGCTCCACAGATTCAGTCCCTCAAGAAGTCCTGCGGTAGCGTTGTTTAGGCTCTCCTGTATTAAAGGTTATCTCTGGGGAAGTTCAGAGTAACATTTCACGTGAGCCATTTTACAAGGATAATTGAGACAAGAGCGTTTCAAGCAGTCGCTCCTGAAAAAGTAATTCTTAGTGTCGTGAAATTTTTTTTTTTGGATAGGAGAACAGCGTCTTCTCAATGTAGCGGTTCCTTCCGTGTGTTTTAACTCTTATTGTTATTATCCATTATAACAATGTTTTAAGGCTTTCAACATCACGAAAAGAAAAATATAATGAATAAAGTAATGGGATGCTGCGGTATAATCCTTTTTATACTCAGAAAATTGGGTGGCCAAATGATGTGGTTTAAAGTAGAAAACGTAATGACTACCCACAAATGTAGCGTAAAGTTTAATTGCTACTGCTTTCCATAAGGCAGTTTTTTAACCGCGCAGCCAATAAATGGCCGGTGCCTAACTGCAGCGCCTGGTCATGCAAGAGCAGCCGCCTGAACCTTGCTGCCCGACGCCCGGTTTTGGAGCCGAGCCGCGTCCCGGCGGGCGCCAGCT